TGGCTTCTCTAAACTCACCTTAGGTGTGACTGTGTGCATCAATGGTTGTTTGTAGTGTTGCACCGATACTGCACTAAAATGGTGGTATCAGTATTAGCGAGTACCAACAAATAGGACACCGATACCATTTTGAGAGCCAAAAGTTTGTTCAACTATTGTCACCCATTCCAGGTAGGCAATAAAACTTACATCCAAGTAGTATGCAGTTCTTTATATATACACACACACATCAATTTCAAATAGATGGTATCTGTATGGTATGGGTATCGGCCAATACTGCACAGCCAAGTATCGGGTATCGGGTACAAAAAATGGCATCGACACAACACTAGTTGTTTGTCCTGTTTGTCTCTGTGTTGCCCTTCGATAGAATTGTGCCCTGTCCAGTGTGTACCCTGCCTCTCGCCCATAGAACATGGATAGATAGAATATTTCAAGAAGCTTTTTGTTTTTAAATTTGGACCCAAAAACCTGGGCCTGTCACCTCATCTTCTCTGTTATCCATGCACTACCTTTTTTAATTTGGGATATCAAATTCTTAGCATCATACTCATTTGAATAAACTTCCACTTCTTCGGAAAACTTAACACTATAAAGTAGTTCTGTGTAGCAAAAGGCTTAGAGGCATTGCATCAAAGTTGTTGTGTCAAGGTCATTTCTTACCTTTACTTTGCTAATTTAAAGTTATAATAAAAACAAGCATCAGAAATAATCTATCCATTCTGTTCTCAAGGTCAAACTAAATTTGGCAGAAATCATCTCCATTTGATATAAGACCAGTTTCTTAAAGGAAGTTAAATTAACTTGGGCTCTGACAGGAAGCCTTGTCATCTCCGTTTGTCCTCGGATCATTTTGTTTCAATGTGAATCTCCTCTAAAACGACTTTCCATTGTTTGCCAACAGGTTTCACGTTTCACCACAAACATGTCGGTGTCCACGTCCTTTGTGCTGCCTGAAGCAGTTTGTGGCCTGTTTGTTAAAAGCACTTTATCGCTAAATTTGACTTGGCACGTCTTGTCAGGAGAGATGGCAGCTGATGAGACTCCTGACCTGCAGATAAAACATCCATTAAGTGGCTTGTCTGGGGCTATTCGGTGCTCTTAACCTATTAGCATATTGTTAGCCATTTCCAAGATGGTGCAGGGGCGGATATACAATACAGCAGCCAGTCACCACGCAATAAAGAACCACCTCTTACTCTGTCGCTGCGCTAAATGTCGTCTCCGACATTGTAATGCTTGCTGGCCGTCGTCCTCCAGATGATTCAGATGACCGCTAAAAGCCTTAGGGAAGGGGAAAAAAGGGCCAAAATGCAAAATTGATGGAAATGACATTAGATTCAGCTCATGCTCCTCACTGTGTAAATTATACCCCAAAATGGACTCTCTGGCCCAACTGTTAGCTCCAATTTGCTTGGCCATACCTCATGGTGGCTTGTCTTGCCCTTCCCTTCTCCCTTTAATCCAATCAGAGCCACACTGGATGTTATTTATTTGTTTATTTATTTATTTTCAAAGGATGTAACCGATTCTTATCAGGACAGAAGTAGTGGCTTCTTCCTGGTGAAACGGTGACTAACGTCCAGCCATCGATCCGTCAGTTTGTCTGCGGTGGCGGCTGATGGCTCTGGTGATAGACTGCTTTGTGTGTGTGTTTATATGTATGAGTGTTTGCCCTGAAGTCAATAATGCACATATGGACATATTTATCAAGCTGTGGCACTTTATCTTCTGTTTGGTTTTCCAGTTCATTCGTTTTTGTCTGTTGTGATAAGCAGAGGCCTACACTCGGGATGAGCAGTTTTGCCTCACCACAGGAAGTTTGATGATCTAAATGTTTTTGCAGCATCCTCAATAGATGGAAACCTGTCTTTGGTGTGCCTCACCTTCGGTCTCCAGCATCCTCACAGCTCTAAGCAGCTCCAAAGACTAGATTAATTATAAGTAGGTTTTATTTAGGTTCTTTTTTTTTCAACAATTGACAAATAAAACATTGCTATCATTTGATGTTGCTTTGATTAAGTCAGATATTCATAAATAGGCTAAAGCCCTGTGTTAAAAAAGAATGCATATGGAATTAGATTTTTATTTTTTCATGTGTGGATAAGTAACCATGGAAATAGAAAATGGGGTGTATGCAAATATTTGGGCTATATTAGACTTAATTTAATACCTGTTAACCCATAATCAGAACTGCTTAATCTTGAGGAAAATGTTTTAGGCATTGGTACCAAAGTTAGTAAATTATGGTTTTAAGGATTATCTTATTCCATTTTTGAAGCCATAAGTTGTTTAAATGGGAGTTTTACAGTCTTATATTGAGGAGAAGTAACTTTCCATCTTTGATTGTCAATAGGAAGTTGGTAATAGATTCCCAGCTTCACAATCACGCAAATGTTATCATCTTGGTCACTGAAAGATTTTATGATCATTACAGATTGTCCAAAACAGAGAACACTGTTATATTTGTAAAGCACAAATAATTGCAACTTTTTTTTCTCTTTAAGGGATGCGTTGATGGAAAGTTTTGGTTGCCACAACTTAAAGTTATCCTGGAATTTATATTTTGAAGAGAGTAGTACAGATAATGGTCACAGCCCTTGCTGCTTGGACAGCGATTTTTCAACCCGGTCATCAGGGTCTACTTCCCACATTAGAAGTATCTATACTCTACCACAACTGATTCTAAACATGTCAGTACCTCGTCAGCATGCCATTTAAGGCTTTAGAAGTGTTTTGATTTGTTGTTAAAATTCGATTTTAAAGGTTTGGTGGAGGATATTCTTTTTCTGGGTGGATATGAATTCAGGTGATAGTTTATGTAAAGCCATTCTTTGTGCTCGTCCCCATTTTCACTTATCGTGGTGAGTCTGACATGGTGGAAAAATTAAAAATCTTCTTTTAGAAAGAAAGCTTGTATGAGGGATGCAAACAGCAACTTTTAAACAGAGCGTTCAAGAGGAGAAATGGACTTGTGCATGCTCTCACACGCGTTTAATAGACGCTGCCTCTTGGGAGCAGGTACAGGGTTGTGCATGTGCATTTTTTTTTAAGTGGAGAGGGTGGGTCTGTTAGAAAATTCACAAAAATCCTCCCCTATACCTTTAAGTCTTAGAGAAGCACCCAAAACATGCAGGACAGTAGATCCTGAGAACCAGGATTGAGAGCCCCTGTGCTAGAGACTTGTTTACTTTATCCATTCCTGCAGGCAGATGATCAGTCTGGACGTTAGATGTCGCTGAAAATTACACACTATAGCTTTAAGAGATTGTCAGGTATTGTTTTTTGCTTTAAATGTGATTACTTACTAGTTTAGATGCACCAAAAATAATCAAAGTAACTAGAATTTAAAGGTGGGCAATACATGGCAAGTATTGCCAATATAAATAGCAATAGCAGTATTTTTTTAATGTTTAGGTTTGAGATATTATCACACCTATGATCATTAAATGTTTTGCATCTTTTTTACTTTGTTAAACATTTGGATAAAGCTTATAGGTAGAAAATGTCCTAACATAATACAAAGATGAAGAATAACAGCAACAAACGAAACAGTATGCATATTTCTTGAAGTGCAAAACAATTTGATAACAAATTGAAATGAAATGTATGTTTGGTAGAGAATTCATAAATCACAAGAAAAAAATAAAACTAAATTTGACCCAAGTGCTGGTATTTTCTAGATTTATCTCTCAGATCAAACTATCACGGTTAGATGGATACTTCAGTTTAAGATTCTATTTTTTTATGCACTGTTCTGTTCTGCTTTGCCTCGCTCAATAGGAGGCACAAGCCCAGCCTATTGGGTTAATTCTTCTGTACATGGGGAAAGGCCCACAGTGAGACTTCTGTGTATTATTCTTTAATTCAACATGTATTGCGCTTGGATATTTTCTTACTTTTTATACATTTTTAATAACTATTTTTAAAGACTCTGGTCCAAAGACAATAATCTCAGTTTTTTCCGCATTAAAAATCAGAACATTTAAAGTCATCCAGGTTTTTAGTTCTTTAAGACATGCCCGTAGTCTATGTAATGGGTTAGTATCATATGGATTTATTGACAAATATAGCTGAGTATCATCAGCATACAGTAATAGTGGAAATAATACCATGCCGTCTACGCTGCAAAACATTTAAATATAAGCAATATGTGCATTTTTTCTTGAATTGAGCACGTAAGTGAAACAAATTACATTTAAAACAAATAATAAAAAAAAAAATTTCATTCTATTAATTCATGCGTATAATATCTAAATATATTATTTTAAGGGTGAAAATATTTATTCCACAGGCAGGTCATCTGATTTACCTGCTCGAATTAGGGGTAAATACACATATTTTAAGAAAGTTTTACTAATCTTTTGTATATGGACCACATATATATAGTAAAGAGATTTGACCCTAGCACTGATCCCTGCGGTACTCCACAGGTAATGATGGAGCATGAGGAAAAGCTATCATCAACTTGAACAAACGGAAATCTGTTATTCTATAAATACGATTCAAACCAGCCCAGCGCTGTTCCCTTAAATTCTACAAAATATTGAAGCTGTATGTTATTGTGATCGACTGTATCAAATGTAGCACTGAGATCTAACAGGACGAGCACAGATACAAGTCCATTATCTGGGGCCATGAGAATATCATTAGTAACTTTCATCAGAGCTGTTTTTGTGGCATGATGAGCGTTAAACCTGACTGAAACACAAACGGGTAAATATGTTGATTGTTTATTCTTGGAACAGTATTTATATTTGTAAAAACACTGTACAGTGCTTTACTTGTTAATTTTTTTTTTTAACTCTGTCATTCATTCTGTTATTTTTATACACTTCTTAAGGTCCGCATTTGTGTGACCAATTTTACTGTAATCTTTTGCTGCTGCTGTAATGCCAAAATTTCTTCATTGTCGACAATAAAAGGATTTTTATGTTCTAATACAATGTAAATGCTTACAAGCATAATCTTAAAATTACAACAATGTTGTCGCGCTGGTTGATAATTTAAACATATTGATGATTCTGTCTTTGATTATCTATAAACATATTAATCATGTCAATATTTAAATGTGTCACCTATTTGTTATCTGGACATACTTTTTTGTGTAATAGTGAGGTAACAAAAAACGTATTTTATGCTAACACGAATGGTCTAAACAGATACAACAACCCTAAGCTAAGTGGTCAAGTATGTTTGCACTAAGAGGTACCGGTAGTCATAAATTAAGGGTTATTTCATTTGATGTTGAGAAGATTTTTCTTTAAGTTAAGTGCACAATTTCTGCAAATATTGATGAGTCCAGCAGGTGGTTCTAAACAATTTATTCACCAACCCAAAATAAATTATGTATAATATTATATATCTCTGCTTATGAAAGTGTATCTGATGTAAATGTTAGCAATAAATTAACCTATTTAAATTCTCCCCCAAGCAAACTTCCCAGAGAATTTTAGTGACAGGACTGGAAAAGCAAAAAAAAAGCAAAATATTTGGTGGTGGTAATATATATATATATATTTCTCAGGATTTTTTACAAATAACTTTAAATGTGATACAAGGCATTACAGATCATATCAACAGAGCAAAATAAATATATTGCACTTAAAATAAGCCAAAAAAGAAACTTTCTAGGGTCAGATTATGTCAAACGAAACATAAGAAAATTATCTGCAATTTCAAACTCAAAGGTGTCAATGTTTACATCAAAAACTGACTGTACATCAGATAAGGCTGTAAAAGATATACTCCCTTTCAAACCAAGAACAGATCAAACCAAAAGCTGGATGGAAAACAGGCTGCACAAGTCATTTTACAGTGTTTGTTTACCTGGCTCTTTTAAAACCTCTCTGAATAATCAGATCTTCATGCAACCACAAAGTATTATTAGAAGCAACACCTTTCTGTTTTTTTTGTTTACAAAAAGCTGTAAATGATGCGTAAAAAGACCAGCCATTCTTTTCTGTACATGGCATCCTTCTGTGATTTCAGCCCTTTTCCAGTGTGAAAAAAAAAATCCCCATGTAGACTATAACAGACCGAATAAATCCAAATATCCAGGAACATTTTGTTGTTTGTCCAGAACAGATTTTCAAATCTAGTCTCTCTTTTTCAATTCCTGACAGTGCCACTGTCACTATGCAGGTCAGCTCTCTATGCTTCCGCCGTTCTTCTCTCTCTGTGCTTTAGATGGGGCCCCACAGAGTCATTATTTTAAGGTGTTGATGTTCTGTCGGCCCATGCTGCCACGGCCATGAATCAACTCCACCTGCTGAGGATTGCCTGCAGGTGCTTTCAGCTTGTTATGTAGAGGCCATCAGCATAAAGCTTCAGGTGTCTGAGCTGTTCGTCTCCTCTTCTTAAGTTGCTAAATAGAGTCCATCCTAACCAGTTGATGTTTCTGTTTTTCTTCTATTATGTTGTTGTTATTTCTTCTGACTGTTTGCCTGAAGCCACCTTTAACTCTTAAGAAGACTGGCATTATAAAGATCCGATATGATTATTAATTTCATTCTTTTTATTTTGCTCTGCACTGAAGGAGGTTGAAATATGGTCTCTATTTCCTGTATCAGCTTCCTTGTGTAAAAAAGTAATATTCAGCTTTGGTACCACACTTGAATATATTTTGTACAGATGGATTTTTAGTGTTTTATCCTTCGGTGAAAATGCCTTGATTTTGCAGTATTTGTATTAGTTATGCTCTTTGCTGGTGTAGCATTTAGTTGCTAATCAGATATACTGTTTATAGCTTTCCAATTGTAGATTTAAAACATCATAGGCTTAATTAATGCTGGCTCTCCATTTTAATTCCCAAACAGCCAAGCATGGGAAGAATGCAACAGCCATCCTTCAGCCAGCTGACCAGCAGTGTGTGGCAACAGGTTCTGCCTTACTCTATCTCCCAAAGAGTGGGAGGGTCCTTAACCCCATGCAATTACTCTGGCATCTTATTTATAATATTTTAAACCATAAAAACGGTGCGATTTAAAAATGTTAGCAGTTTAAAACCTTTGCCTTTTTTTGAAGAATGTTTTACTGTATGCCATAAATGGTGGAGCATTGATAACATTGATAAGCAGGTTTGCAATTCCCGGTTTGACCAGGCCTTGAACAAAAATAAACATTTCCCTATCTTACTCACAGTCCTTCTATCTGTATTTCAACATGTTAAGCAATGTTTTGTCTACTGCAGTCAGCATGCGATCTATGACTCTTTTTTTTGGTAATTTACAGTGAGAAAAGGGATGTAGTGAAGCGTTTTGTTTTCTTCAGTTTCTTTAGACACATATCTACATCATCCCCAGATCGTGGAGCTGTTATTCTGAACTGTACATATGGCTGGTTTCCTTCACACAGAGGAGTGAAGATAGCGTCTCTGCATGTCCTTCATATTGAAATGATCCCTCTATCTCCTTGTGTCATTTTTAGGAATCTCAGCAGCCGTTTAAAAACGATTAGAAAGTGTACTTTGAACTTGAGGGCTGAAATAAAACAAGCATGCACGTGTATTTGCCTTGCATCTCGTTTGCAATGAGGTTGTCAGTCTTTTCATATAACAGAACTGTTTTTTGGATTCAGATCCTGAGAGAGGAGCGCAGTCTGTCTCGGTTCACTGTGCAGGTTCCTCTTCACATCTCGACCCTCATCTCAATCGCTGCAGTTCAGGTATTTACAAAAAACAGTGGGTCAGGTGCAAATCAGATGAGGAGTGATGAGGATTAATGGTCTGCACCCAATCAATGGTCAGAGTTAGTTCTGGCCCTCTGTTCTTTAAAGTCATACAAAGGGCGTCATGACCGTTGAGGAGTGGCGAAGTCCTTGGATGGCAGCGTAGGGCCCCTGCTGGAAGTAGTGGTGGTAGCGGGGCATGTGGAAGGAAGGAAAGGAAGGCCCGCTGCCCTGCATGGTTCCAGCCAAAGCAGTTGGTGTGAGCGGCATCCCTAGCCGGCTGTAAGGGGGGAGGGATCCTTGGATGGGGTGGGGTAGGGAGGCGGTTCCGGTGCCCATGGCTGACAAGGTCTGAGGATGCTGGAAGCCTGAGAAGCCGGAGGTGGTGGTGACCCAGGAACTCAGGGAGAGGTTGTCTGAGGCGGTAAACGCTGAGCCTGCTGGAAAAAGAAAGGTAGGAATAAAGACTTGGTATATCTGCAGATTAGTTTAAGTCTTGATAAAATGTATGCCTTAAGACTGCGTTTATATTTAGGGGCTTTTTTAAAGACTCTGAACTTCACAGCAAACTATTTCTTTTATAGTGATTGTTTCTAGCACACCAAATCATAATTGAAAGGAATTATAGTGTGTTTTACTGAAAGGCTTAGAAAGTCTTTATGTAAATGTGTATAAAATTACATGCCATTCTTTCTTTTCTAGCATATACAAAAGTTACTACATATAATCTGTATTTTTTAGAGGGATTAAATTCAAGTCAATGAGTCGATGCAATCCGCTGGTTTTCCTTAGGTATAAAATGTGAACAATTTGACTGGATGATCTGGTTGAATTGTCTCCTTAAAGAGCTTTGAGATGACATGTGTTGTGAATTGCTGCTATATAAATAAACTGAATTGAAATGAATTTGTCAGCAGGTGCTTGACTTATTCATTGTGATCTTCAATAATGTTTCTCCAAATAAGAAAAAAAAAATTGAATGAAATGTTAGCAACAAAATCAATAGTAACTAAATATTACACTGACTTTTAGGTTTATGTATTTATTTGAAAGAAAAGAAGGAAATGTAAAAAAAAAATCACTGATGACAAAGATAGGTTCCCCTTTTAACCGATTTAAACAAAAAGACAGACATTTTAAATGTATTATTTACTTTTTTAAGTTGCTCAAAGCATCTATGAACTGTCAATTCATTCCTCGCTCACTGATATATGAATAAGACACAACACAGGTTTATAACTGTTCAAAACAGAAAAGACAGGAACGCATATGTAGCATTAAGACAATGATTACGTGTGTTAAACCTCATACGTCTCAAACTGGGTTAAAGGAAAAGGAGCTGCTTGTTTCAACTAATTAAGAGATAAGGTTAGAGTAAAATTAAAAAGTGTAAATAAATTGAATCGACAACAAGAATCCAAACTAATCTTGACCACATAAAGTGGCAGCATAGCATATTGTTAGATCAATGCTACAGAGAGCTGCATATATGGGTTATAAAGTGTCTATAACACCATTAGATGTCAGCCCAATATATACTCACAAGCCTGACCAAAGGTTGTATGGTAAAATGTCATTTGGGGCCCTGAGCTCTTTAGGACATCCCCTCCACTGATGGTGTTTTGATACAGATTTGGTGGAAGCTGGGAGAGGGGACCAAGTTCAACTGACTGAACTTTGAAGCAATCATGGATATTTAGCAGAGGTCATTGTAATATAAACAAAAGAAAATCTTTAAAAAGTACTTCTTAATGTTTTATTTGCAGGGTTGGAAGTTCCTTTCAAATTATGTTTTTTTTCCCAGGATCTTTGAATGTTTTTTTTTTTCCCCGCCGCAAGAAACAGAAGAAACAGAAGAAACTGTTTCTTCCAGAAGAAAATTGGAAGGTCAAATTTACTGCAAAGTTTTTTTTTGTGAATATTTTTCCTTAAACAGGCCCAAATCCAGTAATTAGCTTAAGGTGGGGTTCAATATCTATAAAGCAGGGTTGTTTTTGGGCATGAATAGCAGAAGAAAGCCAACTGGCGTAATCTGAGTATACAGATGTGACCAAATTATTCATTCATCTAGATTTGTTATACATACACTTAATAAATTCTTAATTTGTGTCACTGTGTGTATTCTCATAAAGATTTCTCCTTATGTAGCCTGGTGGATATGGTAAATTTACTTTTCATTGGAACTTTCTCCAAAATATGATCTATTACCAGGACTTTCGCCCAGTTTATTTCAGAAGAAATAGAAAAATAAAAACCTTTCTTCCAGTTTCTTCCACTTGAAGAAACTCAACCCTGTTTATTTATATCCATTATTTCTAAGTTAATCCAAATTAGATCATGAAAAATTCAAATTCTTTGTAATATTTATTGCTTTTTAAATCTTTGCCAGGACTGCATACTAGTGCTTTTAAACAGAAGAAGTGGGGACCTTTTCATTTACAATTAATTCAAACTATGGAGCTAGACTTCATAAGGAAAGTAGATTTTCTCAGATTATATATTTTCACCTTTAGTCTTTCTACATATATCTCATCTAAAGATTCAGGAAATTAGAATATCTGTCTTGATGAGGTTTGTTTGTCAGATATAAAATGCCTTCTGGATATATCAACTTTTTATATCAACAAGTTTGCTTTTTATTAAGCCCAAATGTCTGTATTTGAAATGTTTTCTTATAATTCTGATGTGATATTCTGATCAGAAAATATTGAGTTTTAATTAGCTCAGAAATCACAGAAATAAAGGGTTAAAATATTGTGGTTCACTTATTGAATAGAGATAGTAGAATAAATGAACTTTTCAGTGATATTCTAATTTACTGAATGGATCCATTGTGGCGACGCCTCACCTCTGGTGTGTGTGGTGTGTCCGTCCTCACTCAGGTTCTCCTCATCGCCAGCGTAGGTTCTGATCGGCGATCGGGCGTATGAGTGCTTGTGGATCAGATTCTCAACACTTTCCCTGCAGCAAAAGCCAAAGACAGAGCCCCAAAGTAAATCTCTTTGTTTCTTTTTTTTTTTTCATCCTTCCTAGAAGCAGTGACATGTCCAGCTTACACCCACAGGTCCTTCACAAATCAGACACACACAGTGATATTTAACTTTGACTTGAACTTTTTCTTAATACAGTGAAACACAAAATGTTGGATGTTTTTGTTCTTTATGATTTAAGAAATAGTAGGATATTCAGATCTCTGCACGTTTCCCCGAAACTCCAGGATTTTCTCTGGACTTTAAATCATGTGGGAAACATATCAATTCAACTTGGTTGAAATGTATTTTCCAGTGGTTCATCTAATGTGAAGTGGTTTAAGAACAGCCATTATAGTTTGTATTTTAATGTGTAAAGTGTCTGTTTCATCCATCACATCAGGCAGAGATTTTTATTTTAATCTGCAACCAAAATAAGTATAAAAAGCCTTTTTTTTTTTTACAACTTAGTCAAATTAAAATTAATCAAGTTTTCACTTGTGTCTCTTTCATTATGTTGCAGTTTGGAGGTATGAAAGGAGAAATATCCCCTATTAAAAACATGGATTATTTCTCCCTGCCATTGTCACTATGAGGGGTTGCTGCAAGGTCGAAAACTAGAAGCAGAGAACAGTTTAACTAATAAACTGAGCTCGACTCATCTAATCATTCGTATAAAACTGGACTGCCTTTTTTAATCGGTCTGTATGATTAGATTACATTGACTATGTAATTATGTAAATAAATTAGATTGTATTATAGAAAAACTTTCCTAACAATGAATGCACCATCGATAAACCCAGATGAAGATTGAGGTCCAAACTAAACTACTAAATCCAAATGATGCACAAAATTTTGGGTATTCTTAGAAAATTCTTACATAATGAATCTCACAAACACAAACTTAAATCTATCTTAATATATTTTATTGGGATCTTAATGATTTGAAGGGTAAAATATTGGATAATTGAACCCCCTGTAGAACCATCTCCACTGGTAGCTTTATCTGTATTAGCAACACTAAGAGCCCATTTAGGATTAAGTTTTGGCTCATTCCCTTTTAGTAGCTTAAGCTCAATCAGATTGGATGGAGGACATCTGTAAACAGCAATTAAACTCGGGTCCTTAAGGGCCAGTGGTAAGAAATGAATGGAATCAAATACTGGCCCTAATTGAACACACCTGATTTAAAATCATTTAATGATTTTCTCAGTGTTTCTTCATAATCTACAGTGGCATACATAAGCCCTAATAATTTAAAATAGGTGAGGTCAGGCAGGGAGAAGCTTTAAAAATATATAAACACTGTCCTGCTGTCCTGATCTAAAGTCTTTCAAGCTTCTCAGATGTTTTCTTTCATGTTTGTTTTGCGATTTGGTTAATTTATCTTCAAATAACCTTCAATCATCTTTCCTGTCCTGCCTGATTAAATATCCCACTCCAAAAGGCTATTATGGCATCGATGATGTGTTCAAGTGCATCACTTTTCAACCAATGTAGGTTAAAATCTTCCATGTTAGTGAAGTTCCTCACAGAGTGTGGGGATCTGCTAATGGGACAACTTATGGCTTCCATCTTGTGTCACATCTCCCAATGACATTCCGAACACAAAAAAGTACAATAGTTGAAAAATGTAAGAATATTTTGCAGAACACTCTATGTATGCTAACGCACAATAAAACAAGGATAAAATGCAGCTGAACTCTTTTTAACTTTCATTTTGCTCTATGCATTTAGCTTGTGTATCATTTTGTTTTTCTGCCTGTGCATGTGGATTTAGGCAAGGGTGCGTCATGTATGTGTTCACAGCCCCACAAACTGCATTAGCTCATTTGAGACTTGTCAGGCAGCACTTCTAAACCACAGTGACAGATATGGTTGGTGTGTGTTCATGTGTGTGTTTGTCTGGATGGACAGGCAAGTGTTCTACATCATGAGAGTCATGCGTTCACATTAGCAGTGTCCCTCCCGCCCCGCCCCTCCGCAGCCCAAACCCCTCCAATTAGGTTAGGAAAGTGCAATATCTGTCAGCAGAGGAGTACAAATGTGTGTGTTTTTATCAGTGTTGGGCCCCTGCGGCGCAGGAGCCAGAGCAAACTCCCACAGTGCATGGCAGTTGGTGGGGTAAGGCGGGGCATTCTGGTTTCAATCAGTCACTGCTGCCAATTGAATTACAGTGTGTTTTAGTGCAGTGGCCGACTCCAGACTAATGTGATTTCTGCAGCTCCCGAAGACCAATTGATCAGGTCTAATTCACAGCCCTCACAAAGAGAAAGACGGAGAAGTACAAGGAGGGGGGTGGAGCTGTCTGGATGTGTTTCAGCGGTCTCTGTTTGGGATCTTTGATTGAGGGAAATGGGCAGATGGTTTGATTTTGTCAGCTGATTTTGGCCACAGTGCCGGAATCGGGAATTACGAGAAGTATGTGTTTTGGCCGCATCTGCAGAAATCTGCAGAGGCGTGGTTCTTGGTGTCTGCATTTGTCTGGGACTCAGATTGGATGCATTTTAATGTTAAGAAAAAACGGACAGGTGTGAACTAAGAAAAAAGTGTTAGTAGAGCAGTAGAGACAGTAGGAGAAGACAAGTAATGCACAAAGAAATTATATATATATATATATATATATATATATATATATATATATATATATATATATATATATACAAAAAAGGAAGCTGGAAAAACAACATGCTTTAAATTAAAACATTTCATGTTTTTTTTTTTTTTATGGAATGGAATAAAAGACTTTCATCTTTTTCAAGAACAAAAATAGACATTTGTGTTGAAAACTAGAAAAGATTGAGAAGCTATATATCGAATTAATTATTTTTTATAGTTTTTGTTGTATAATAATTAGACTTTATAAGTATATTTAACATTGACATTTGTAGCTATGGAAGTTACAAATACATACACTGTTTAATTACATTTCGTTACATTGACTGATGCACAATGTATTTCAAAAACTATATCATATACATACTTATATACGTAAAAAAAAAAAAAAAANTTTATAAGAACCAGCATTTGCCTCTGCAATTATCATGGGCTACAATTATAATTCAACAATATAATAATAATATCACGTTAAAAGCTATTAATCAGTACCTTAAAAAACCCAGTTTTCTGATGTTGAAAGATAAAAGTCTTAAATGCCTCCCTTATTTTCTTGAAAATAAAGAAACGGCTGCCTGTGGTGACATAATAAAGCCTATGATGCATTTTAAAGAGAAAGAAAAAGAGGGAAAATTTTCATTACAAACGTACGACCGTTTTTCACCAACCTCAAAAAATGAGAAGATTTAGTCGGACGTTTTATGACGATACACTTTGTGTCAATTAAAATCAATTAAGTTCTGCGCGTTCATTGGTCAAGCGGCCCGCGCTTCGAATTCCTCTGAGCCAATCAGATGTGAGATGTGTTCTCCCGCTGCAGGTTATACGTCCACCCGGACTCTCCGTTCACCGGGGAGCAGCTGATGAAGCAGATGGTTTCCTTCGAGAAGGTCAAGCTGACAAACAACGAGTTGGACCAGCACGGACACGTGAGCGCGGCTTTTCTCTTTTACATTTTCCTGTTTTTACAGAAAGAAATAAGAAAATAAAGCTCTGACTCAGATCAAGGGTTAGACAATATTTGGCTTCATTTATGCTTTTTTCAGTTTTTGTTTTGTTTTTTTATTTTGTCTTTAGGAGGCTAATTGTCTGTTAAATATATATATATATATATATATATATATATATATATATATTTATATAATATGCTCCTGACCACGTTTGATATGTAGATGTTTTTATCAAATTCCTATTTAATTGAAACCAAATTTACTCTCTGTGCACCGTTTTTAACTGTTTTGTTTCTGATAAAGTGCATAAATCAAGATGAAAAACATACTCTGTATGGTTTTGGTTGGCTCAAGAGTTAGAAAAACACTAATCTGTCAGAGCATATTATAACAAGCTGTAAGGAAAGAAAGAAGTAGAATAAGGGGTTAAGGAATGAGGAAAGGGCAGAAGACTGATATAATAGAATGGAAGATTTAGTATGGGCAACAACAAGAAAAAGTGGAAACTATGAACTAGGATAAAACACAGGAATTGTCCATTAAACAAAGAAGCAACAGAGATCCTGATGAACAGGAATAAAATCTCCTCCCTTCTTTAGTGTCTTATTAGTAAGAACAAAGCTAAACAAACACTTCTGGGCCCAGAATCCCCAGTACCTCTCCATGTCCGTCAGCCGGGAAGAATCCCTGAAGCCTTTGGCAAAAGGGTTGCTGTCGATCTTCAGCTTAGTTATCTGGGGGGACAGAAGCATAAAACAATTTAGACCAATCTGCTTTTCTTCTCTGCTCCCAACTTTGTTTTGCTTCTCCTAGAAATTAATCTTCAGTTACCACATCAGAAAAAAAAAATCCATATTTCAAAACAAATATTAAAAGCCAATTTTTGGAAAGTCTTATTAAGACATATTAAAATATTTTAAATATACAGGTTTCATTGGATGTTTTTAGTCAAATTTTCACATAATCAAAGAAAAAAAAAATGCTTTAAGAAAAGTAAGTGTTTGATAAACACATTGCTTTATATTCCAACAAGTGATATTGCTGCATGTAGCATTTAATAAACAACATATAATTAAATATTCAAAAATAATAATCTAATGTAAATTAATTAAACATTTTTGTTCAGTTATGTTCACATTTTATTTCATTCTTGAATGAGAATCTAACTAAAATACCTAAATAAAATCATGTAAATATATAAGTTTGCACAAATCACAAATTGGTAAGAGAAATCTCAAAGGGTGTACGTTGTGAGTATATACCACAATCCTTACACCAGGGGGCGCAACAAGTAGGAACTTTTTGCTGCCCAAAAATAAACCCCATGCACCCATGGTCTTCATAACAGGTGTCTGAGACTTCCAGATGCGTCTCTGGTGTAACACACCGGACTCCGATTTTAGCATCAATTAGCATCATCATCATAATAAGGTGATTTAGCTATTTTTTTTTAAGTGGTTACAGGATACCCCTAAGGATGTAAGTTTTATACCAGTGAACCTTCTTATCCATGCAGGGTCACATTTATTTGTCTGTCTATATGTAACATTTTTTGGAGAGTACAGCACAGTATTAATATATATTTATGTAACAATAATTGAACTTTATTGATCTCCCATTGGAGAAATTTATCTCTGCATTTAAGAGGTGTGGGCTGCCATTGTGCAGCACTCGGGGAGCAGTGTGGGGTTAAGGTTTTTGCTCAGGAACCCAGAGTGCAGACTGGGGGGATCAAACCAGGTAAATTAAATGACCTTCTCTTAAGATTTCCATTTTCTGATTTAGATTGCACTTTTAACCTCACTTTAAACAGAAGTTCTGTCCTAAAAAGGTTCATGTGACCCATTTAAGCATGCCTGAACATCTAATATAGAAAAACAAAAATATTAGAGCTTAAGCAGGGACATATGATCAAGAACTGACAGGTTTACTCACCAGCTGGTTCTGATAAGCTGTGACAGCAGTAAAGACGGTCTCAACAAACACAAAGGTGCGAAACTCCTCCGATTTGAGGTTGAGCAACGAGGCGGTATGGTCTTTCTTTTTGATAATGTGAACTCGTGGCTGATACTTGTGCATAGAGTTCAGGATGATCTGCAAAGGGAAAGAATAAGAAAAAATAAAGAAAAGGTTTTTATACTGCAAACACCAATGGTCCGTCAAAAAGTAGCAAATGCTTTTCTTCTATTCATTTGAAGTTGACCATTCTGCATGAGTCCCCCCATCAGTTAGCCTCACACATTGTTCCATCGGACATTTCCCTTCATGTTTATACTTGAAATCACTCCCACAGACACTATCTGGGTAACCTCCAGGTCCTTTACAAATACAGGGCTTGTTTTTCCATGTTCCCAAAGATGTATTCCTGACCAATAAACAAGTTTTGTACATGTATTAATATACACTGAAAAACTAAACTAAAATTTCATCATAAATTTAAAAATAAAAACAATCTGAACATGATTGTTTGCATTTTCTGATGTGAAACGAAACAAACGAAAGATTTTGGTTCTGTAAAAAAAAAAAAAAAGCTGTGTTTACTCTAAGCTAGCTTTAACCCTAAAGTGCTATGATGACTTGATAAGTAAAGTCTTCACACCAAAGATGGTAACATTTATAATAATGTTACAAACAATGACTTTCATTCACACCTCAGAAATACTCTTAAATGTTCTTATTTCATAAATAGGGTATAATAAAGCATGTATTGGTCAAAGAGAATATGAGTAAATATTAAATTAAGGTTTTGGAGAAATTGTCAACAACAGGATGTTATATGCCTACAATACGGTGCATTAGAATGTATTTTATTTTTGGTAATGACTTGGAAGTCTGCAGCCTTTATAATCCAAAGAGAATTAAAAAAAAAAAAATTATCCTCAGTCCACCTAAAAAGAAAAACTTGTTACATGATCTTTTGAAAAAATATGACTTGAATGTTAAATTTATATTATCTTCACTAACTATAAAATACCTAAAATAATTTCATAAATAAACTGAAATGCTGTTGAAACCTGCATTAAATATTATATCTTTTCTTTTTTTTTAAATATGCATCTTTTTTTTTAAAACAATTTTAACTCAAGTTATTTGTGGAAGGTCCAAGTTGCTTCTTAACGCTCTGTAGCTGCGGCCTTAAAATCTAAATTGTATAATGAGAGTAAAATTCTAAAGAAGAATAGAAAAATCTTGGAACACATTTAAGGGAGGTACAATAAAAAAAAAACTTTTTCTCAATCTGCAAATAATATCTTATTTATCCACTAAAAGCAAAGGATGCATCAGCTACAGATGCATCCTTTGCTTGTAGCAGTTTAAAAAGATAGCAGTTTCTAATTATTTAAGGTATTTCAAAAATAATAACGACATAAGTTGCTTGTTGCACATATTTCTAATAATCTACTATGTCTTTACTTTCATGAGATCCCTTTGCTATTTAAATTTTTTTTGACTTTTTCAGAATTTTACTGTGTATCTATAGTTTAATTCGCTTGTTTGTTTTGCAGATAATACAGCTGTGTTCCCATCATGTCTGACAAGAAAAGTAATCTCATGTATTTTCATTCTACGTAATTACCCTTTAAAATCAGATGATTTCTTTTCAATTTCAGAAAAAGAAAAATGTTCAATTTCATATTACTTAACTGTGAGCAAATAAAATAAAGTAACAAGCGATATGAATTTTGCTGCTTATTAAATGCATTTTTTTAGACCTAAATAGATAAATGTGTGGTTTTGCATATATATATATATATATATATATATATATATATAT